AATATTGGTTTATATAATAAAATATTTTAAGATATTTAAAAAGAACAGAACCTGCTTACTTCTAATAAAGGTCTTTGGAAAAAATTTTAAATTTACTAGTAATTTTACTAGTGATCCTATTGGATAATTGATTTAAAAAGGAAAAAAATCATAATAACTTAATGTAATATTTCTTTTTTTAGATGTAATTTATCTATATATAGTAGAATTTTCAAAAATTCTCAATTATAAATTTTACTTCAAGTTTCTGAATTCTGATAACTTATTTTATAAATAAGTGAGATCCTAAAAGGATCTAGAGTCAAAAATTTTTTATTATAAGCTGTACGTATTTTTTCAGAACCAGAATTGTGATAATGTCAGTTAGTTACTATAATAGGAAATAAAATTCTGACTGGCATTATTAAAAATTATCTAAAAAAGGAAAGATTTTATGATTTTTTTAGTTTAAAATACATAAACTCAAACCTGACTCTTATATATATATTTCTGGATACTATTTAAAAGTATTTTTAACTAAAAAATAAAATTGCAGGTAAATTTAACTGCAAAATAGTTTAAGGGATATAATTAAAATTAAAATTAAAAATTATTACTACAGTTAATTCCCTTTATAGTTACATCTCTTGAAAGTTGAAACTGAAAAAAAAGGTGTAATTATAAAAAAAGTCATATATTATAATCAGGGTTGGGAAATGTACTGTACTGAGTTTTTTTAGTACAAGTACATTTTTTATATAAATTACAGAGGCATATATACCCTGGTTTTAAGTGGTCCAGTGATTAGATTTTGATAAAATTAAGCTCATTAAATTCAAGTTAGCATTTGAAGTAACTTTATATATAAATTATTAAATATATGGTATTTAAAATTTTAAGTACAATGTACTAATTGTACTGTATAGTACAGTACAGTACTATACTAAAATTTTGCCTTATACACCATATTTTTCCAATCCTGATTATAACTATAGAAGAGGTTTTTTAATATATTTATTAGTATATTAGATCATATAAAATTTTATATAATGTAATTTATATAGGAAGTAATTATGATAGAGGATTGATTATATATAGTTTAATTAATAACAAAATCAAAACTAATTAGAAATTTTTGGCAAAGAGTTTAGACAAGCATTACTAGTAAAAATTTTGATTATTATGAAATTGCTAATAAGAAATTATGCTTATTAGACAAGTTAGAGTATGATAATGAAGAAAGTTTAGAAGGTAGATATAAAGTTAGATCCTATTTTATTAAATATTAATAGCATAAAATTGAAATAGTTGTATAATAATCTTATCATTTTACAATATTCTATTTGTTCATACTTCATTATATAATATTTTTTAGGGCTAATTAATGTTAACTATAATCTAATTTAAATTGATTTGCTATAATATAAAAAGGCATTATATCCAAGTATGATAAAATATTAATCCCAAATATCTGGATTGGCATGCCAAATTAACTGGTTTACCAAGCATTTTGACAGATAAGATTTGTTTTAACTTATACAAAAATATAGAAAGCCTCAAGTTTCTGATTTCAAGCCTATTATTTACAAAGCCAAACCTGATCCAGAATTAATTATCAAATCCATCTTAGAGCATTTCACATACTTAAAATTCTGAAATAGCTTTAGGAAGATTGATAATTATAATTTTGCATTGGCTCATCCATGGGACTCATCATGCCCTATTTGTGATGGAGAACATGGGAATTATATATTATATGGTAAATGGTATAGAAATGGAACTGAGTATTGTCTTAGCTGTAACTCTTGAAGCAATAAATTTCAGTTTGCAGTCGTAGCATAGATGAGGCAGATTTGTCCCTGAAATGCGCAGGGTTTTTCCTAGCAAAATCACGTGAGACGTATGTAAAAATAAATTCATTCGTGGACATGTAGGCCATTGTATCATAATAACCGCAATCATTTATTTTCAGCGGAAAGTATTGAGTAGGCGTATTTATTTTTTTACATGTATCATATTAATAAAACTTCGATCATCACATCACTTACATATATTGTATACTGCAAAAGGTGTAAAAAGTATCAGAAGGAATATATAAGCGGTGTGAATGTCCTCGAGTACAATTCGTGTCAAAAAATTTGCATAATTAATGCTCTTGTGATTGATGGTATAGGTTTTATACACAGCAAATATTCGCATTAGGATTAGCATCAGATCTTGCAGACGTGGCTAGAGTTAGATTCTAGAACAATATTATTAATTTCGAAATTACAGAACTCCGAAAGGTATCATTAGTGGACTATCTTGTAAAGGAGAATAATAAACTGAATAAATTAGTTTAGGATAACGTCATCATGTAGCAGGTTACGACTCGTATTTTCTCGTACGATCAATAAAGCAAAGACGCAATTAGTGCAATTAATTTACCAGACATCATTTTTTTCGCATGATGTTGGTTGAGGGAGAGGGAATTGTGTATGCTAAAATTTCTAACAAGTTTTATTATAACAAAACTTAATCCAGAACTTGATAAATGCGCAGTAACATTAGAAACATTTTAGTATAGACATCATTTATCACGGGAATAAGTAATTTATTTTCGAACTTTCCCGCATATACTCAAAAGCTTTACGCATAACAAAAAAGACCTCCTTGTTGATCTTTGTATATGGGCAGTGCCAAAGTTTTTTATTATAATTTTAAGTGGATCCGTTGATCAGATTTTCGTGATGTAATATATTAACGTAATTTGCCCCAAAAGCGCATTCCAAAAATCGATCCTGGAAATTATATAAAAAGGTGATGCCTCTGTTAGTGAATCCTTTTTATCCGCGTAAGTAAAGCAAAAAAGTTCAAACCAATCAAGCTTACCGTTATTAAAATCATTGATATTAACAATCAAACGAACTCAAAGTAATAATAAAGTAAGTCGGTTTTATTGCTCAGCTAACTTCTTGAAACTTGTCATCACAATGTTAATCGATTTTCCGCCTTTACAGATGTTTCAAAATAAAGCGGTCTGCCGACTTCACGTGTCTCATCAGCGCAGGTGGCTTTTCTATCATCTGATTTCTAGCATCAAAAAAAACTCCCCCAGCGTAACCATCAAAAAAAGCTCGGGCACGTGATTCATGTGATTTGACTGTAGCTAAGTGTGGCTATTGAAATTGCACTACGCAGCTATTGCAACTTAACCCTAAATAACTCCAAAGGTAAAAGTTTCAGCCTGAACTAACCTTCCTTACCTAACCCTAAGAAACTCCACGTCTACGTTATCTTCAAGAATAGATCAACTTTCCTTACCCTAACCCTAAGAAACTCCAACATCTACGTCATCTTCAAGGATATGTATTTCCGCCTAAATCAACTTTCCTCACCCTAACCCTAAGATACTCCAACGTCAATGTTATCTTCAAAGATAAGTATTTCGGCCTAAACTAATTTTCTTTATCCTAAGATACTCCACTCCAAAGATGATTGCTTGAGAATATAATGAAATTTTATAGATGTTAATTCATAAGAGTAAAACAAAATCTTTTAAATTAATGAAATTTGAGTAATTATTTTATTAAAATAGAATGTAATATTAATTTAACAATAAAATTTATTCAATTTCAATTTATTAAAATACATTAATTTAAAATAAATTATTGTAAATAATGAGTGATATCAGTATGCCCCTTCCATGTTAATGGCATGGTTCACTTATTTGATAATGTTCAACGTCTTCACCTAATTTATTAATAGGACTATATTCCTTACTACAGACTAGTTTTGCTCTTTTAGAAGAGAAGGTTGCATTAATTAGGCTGTCAAAATAACAGTCGCAATTTAGTTTGTTGAACTAGTATTATTGCTTACTTGGTATTTCTACAGGTTTCATATTTTCTGCGAGTTTTGTATTAAAAGATTTATAGATATTGTAAAGAAAATAAGCCAACTTTTTATTTTTTAAAAAAAATTGTATTCTTGGTATTTGGTAATGTAGACGCGAAAAGAAAGCTTAAATAATAGCTTAAATAATACGCGATAATAGATCAGTTGCCACAAACTGCGCCGTATGTAACAAAATCACATGCTCAAAAATCACATTCCCGAGCTTTTTTTGATGGTGTTACTGGGGAAGATCATCAAAAAATTTGGCGCAGTACAGTATATCTAAATTTTCCTCTAGAAATAGTCCAGGCTATATAGAAATTTTCAGCGTATGGCCTCTGTGGCCTCTGAGGATCCTATATAATTCACTTATACAGTTTCCTGCTGATTGTCCATCTAAACCTTTGGTCTTTGCAGGTGGAGTTCCCAGTATATAGCTGAATTTAAAGCAGGCGCTGACAGAAAAAGCGGCCTTGAAGAAAGCATGATTACTGAATGAAAAAGGGCAGCATTGTATTGAGATATACCGAAAGCCACCATTAACATATCTAATTGGCTACAAGTTGAGTAAGTAATCACTCGTTTGAGATCATTTTGGAAAAGACCAGTGGTAGCCGCCTCAAAGATCCGATCCAAAGAAGTAATAACAGAGCCGTTTCACTGTGCTTTAACAAAGGAGAAATTCGGAGTAATAAGAATATACTAGCTACAACCATGGTAGCTGCATGTAAAAGGGCTGATACAGGAGTGGGCAAATTGTGCTGATACACTTGATGTTTGGCGCAGCGATAAAAAATCTGTTATAACGCATTAAGCAACAAATTTCTTAAATATAAGTCGGATTGGAATGTTGTTAAAATAGGCAAGTATGAATAGGAAATATTGCATTGATTATTCTTTTACCTCAATTGCTAATCTACCAAATTTATGCTATAGGTCCGAAATTACTTAATCTCCGGAAGTTCTCTTATTGGGAATAATCTTTCACATAGTCTGTGCGAAAGGTAGTGATATAGATAGACAAAAATTTCGTAGATATGGGTTATCTCGAAAATCTAGTGTAGTAAAAGAGTATAGGGATGAGAATTTTATGAGAATTTTATATTTAGACAAACGTTTAAACACTTCAGTTTTGTGTAAATGAAATGCCACAGATTGGAATAGAGACTGAAATTGCGCAACATATCGGTATGCACTGAGCCACTGACTGACAAAAACGCGAGTTTGTATTATTACACTTGTGTCTGAAAAACAGATTCGTTTATTTTAATTGAAAAGTCTAAGTGGAATGTTAAATACTTCTTAGAGGGCTGTGAACTTGAAGACATAAGTGACAAAATAAGTATTTATCTTAAATCTCTTGAGGCCATCGCCGAGGACAAAAGTGCAAACGAGCAAAGGAATTGCTTGCAAGATATAGAGGTAAATTCATATTTTTTTTTGTCTTTAGTTAAAAACTAGAATTTGACGTGTGCGGGATCTCGGGGTCTTGTATCATTCAAGTCTCAAGGGCGAGCCACGAAGTTAGTGCTGGGGCGCGAACAATCTCGAGGGTTGTTTTACGTTCAAAGCTCAGGGTTGACCTGGTGGGATAAAAATAGGAGGATATTGATAAATACACTAATCAAGAATATTACTAATTTATCAAATTTTACGCGTTAGGGCTCTCACCAGATCGGAATCTTGCTTGAAATTAGGAAAAGGATAGAAAAATGGCTAGTGAGACTTCGATATCTATTAACTTTTACGGGAATTTACAGACAATAGGATCATATCATCAGAAGCTACTAAAATAATGTGGGATTTTTATTGACACATTAGATTAGTATTAGATGGAAAAAAAATATAGAAATTTGGGATATGTAATAGGAAAAGAACTAATACTGCCAAATTGTTAAGTTAGAATTAAAATATATTGAAGACAATTTTTTAATTGTCATTTATTTTATTATAAGCAGGACGTAATGAATACTTCAGCTGAAAGTAAGAAACTTTTATCAAAAGTCGAAGAAAAGGTAAGTCTAGTTAAGAATACAATCATTGATTTCAAATGATACTGATTTATAACTTTCCTTAGGATAAAGAACCTTCCTTTACTGGATTATTATTAAAACAAGTCCAAGAGGTAATTTTTAATTGGAAGTTGTAAGAATTGGCAGGATATTAGCTATTTGGTAAAAGCAATTTTAATTTTTTCTTTTTTGTTTAGTCTGATGATGATTTCCAACCCACCATTCCTATCCGAACTCAAAAACGTAAAAAACAATTATCACTTTCAAAAAAGGTTGATAAAGAATTGTCTTCTTCAAGGAAGGTCAGTATAAAATACTGTGATAAGGATTTTTCACAGAATTTCTTATAAATTTTTTCTACTACTTGTTATATGAATAGGTCAAAACTACCAGCAAGAATGTTGTCGATCCATTCATTGCATCATCTAGTAGAAGAGTTCGTGATAATTCTGAAGCCTCCTCCAACAGTTCATATAAAAACACTGAGCAAGAAGAACCAACCTCAATTTCAAAGCTGATATGGAATCCTTTCATGAAGCATATTCGAGTATGGATTCATATCAAATGTGGACATAATTAAGTCCCGGCCAAAACTTGAACAGCCTCAACCTGAACTTGAAAAAGTATACGCTTAATATTGACAATACCAAGGATCTGTGAAAGGCTTTTGCCAAACCATATGTATCAAATTTTGATCAGAGTATTCATTTTGATCTTGATTTTCATTAATTACGCTTATCGATTAATGCTGTCTTGTAGAGAGGGAAGAAAATCCATTTGTTGAATTACAATTGGAAAGTTAGTTCAAAATGAACGTGTGGGCACATTTTATTGATCCACTCTTTCATAATCTGGAAGTTGAGCTAAAGCGTGGAGAGGGATGAGATGAGCCTTGTGCCAAGCGACCGGAAAAATGATGAAAGATCAGTAGATGAACGGAAGAAGATACGAAAGATGATTGGCCGAAAAGGAGATGGCGTGTTCAGATCGTGTAAAACATAAGTGGAAAGGCAAGTGTGGAGATAAATACTTAACAGATTCGCTAAAATTATGTAAAATGTAAAATGACATTATGGTGCAGCTTTTCACTGAATGTGAAATGATAGAATACTATGTGAGGAAGTGGGGTACTTCAAGGAGATAATAGGATTCAGCTTATCATAATGGATTCTTTAAAAGGATATATTTATCGTATTCGACATGAAAATGTTTATGATCGATCAAATTCCAGCCATTAGCTTTTATTCCGAAAGAGATTCTATGTTATCATACAAATATTGAATGTGATAAGCGAGAAGAAGGAAGCTGACGTTGTAAATTTGTTTAATATTTCTGAACAAGATATACCCACTCACCTTCTAGAACAATCACTGCAACTGAAACCTTTAAGACTTTAACAACTAAGTGTATTAAGGATGTAATTAATAAAAAAAATAGTAAATAATAGAGGATATGTTCTATAAAATAGCAATGTTTTATTACGATAAATATAATAGATTAGAAAAGCAATTTTAAGAAATATTTTTTTAAAATGGATTGTATTCTTGATCTATTTGTTATATATAATAGATATTATAATAAATTGTAATAAAAAAGATGGTATACTGAAGGGTTAGTAGGAATTGAAATCAATTTTACCAAACCAAATTAATTAAAAATCAAATTAAAATTGATTTTGATTATTAAATAAAAAATTGATATAATTCTATATTATGTAACTGTTATATAAAATTTTGTTACAAATCTTTACATCTCACAAAATTTGAATGGTATTACTTAATTCTGGCTATAATTATAAACTTGGTTAGAATTACTACTGATTACTTAAACATTTATTTTGATGTAAAAACACAAAAATTAAATAAATGGAATGGTTTTTATATTAATTGTAATTATTGGAGTTGTTTTGCCACAAATTTAATGGTATATAATCAGTTAAAAATGATTAATCAGAATTAATTTTAAATGTAAAAATTGATTTTAATTTCTAGAGATTAGACTTAGTTAGTTCTTTTTAAAGATATACTTAATATGTTTTATAAATGCATTGCTTGGATACTTTAAAATACCTTTATAGGAGGAAAAAAATTACTATGAAACTTGTAGAACTAAGATGAATGGGTTACTACTGGCCTAATAATACAGAGGGTGATTAATATTATACAGACATTTAAAGATATTTAGGTATCTAATAATTGAAATTTCATAATTTTACATTCATTTGATTCGTCTTATTGAGAGGATTCGAATGATAGTAATATCATCTTTACATAATCAATATTCAGTGTACAATTATGTTTTAAACATTTAGATATTTCTATATGAATATTTAATCCAATGATTGGATTTTCATAATCTTTAGCTCATTGTATTCATCTTATTAAGACGTTTCAAATGATTGCAAATACATATTGATTGGATTAATAATGACTAAATTATACTCGTTATAGTGAATCTCGTTATAATGAATATTAAGTAAAATTGTGTTATAGTGACCTATTGATTTTTTTCTTTATAATTAATTTCTCCTGATATAGTGAATTTTCTTAATAAATCTTGTTATAGTGAAAAAAAGGGAAAAAATTATATAGTGGAACGGAAAGTTCACTATAATGAACTTTGACTGTAATTTTTTACAATTTTTAACTTATTATTATACTTGTTATATAAATTATAGAATTTTTGCAACGAGCATTTTCATATTTCCAAAAAATTCTGAAAAATATGAAGTATAAGAGTTGTTTATTATGACTGTAAGTACAGAATAATGTTTAATTTATATTACATTAATATGTAATGTTCAGCATAATTTGGTAAAATAAAAATGTCCGCATACTTTTGATTGCCTTCTGTATAAATCCAAAGGTTTTAATTACAATTTCAACAAAAAGTTAATAAGAAACTTGATTTTATTTTAAATATAAATATTTTTAATAATATTTTTATTAATTAAAGAACAATGATAAAGAATTAATTGAGACTAATAATAAATAAATTAATGATAAAATTAATGATAATATTTAGTAATGTGATTTCTATGAGAAAAAAAAATAACATTATTATTATTTTATCCTCCTCTTATTTATAGTTGTTAATGCTTTATTATTAATCCATTTGGTAAACATTTCTAAAGAATTTACAGGTTGATAAAAAGGAGCTTCATGACCTGCTTCATATATTCTAATAAATGTTAATTTATCAAAAGATTTTATTTCTCCAGCAATTGTATTACCAACTGTCCATTTTTTTACTGTTGCATTATTAAAATCAGATTGAAATTTCCATATTAATGCATCTACCAACTCTCTTCCACTAAACCTAAAAGAAAAAGAAGCAGATTAAAAGAATAATTTGAGTAAAATAAAACGAAATCTTTCATTTAATACTTACCAGTTACATCTAAAATCTGCATCACCATAATATAATAATACAGGAAATCCCCTATAAAGAAGATATTCAACATCTGCCTTATGACTTTGCTCTCTAATATAAAAATAAGATATAAAATGTTATATCTATTTTATCTTTTTCGATTTAAATCACAAAAAAAAAAAAAATTGTTTTCTTAATTTACTTACAAATCACCTTGATAGACAAACCGATCAAAAGAATCCTTCGAACAATTAGCATAATTTTTTTGTGCACCAATAGCTGCCATTATTTCAGGTTTGGTCAAATAAATTTCATAATCTTTTGGTGGATAAGTATTTATCGTTGCTATGGAAGTTCTAATATCAAAAGGATTTAATCCAGAATTTATAAAATGAGAATAATATTTAGAAAAGAGACAAGTTTCTATTGCATTTATGCAATCAACTACATTTCCTGTTGTATAACAAAGGTCAACTGGTGAAGAAAAAATTGGTTAAGTTATTTTTCTTTATAAAAATCGCTTAAATCACTTAAATTATTACAGGAATTTATGAAGTTTACTTGATTGTAGGCATTCAGGCAATTCTGATCGCATTGCTGCGAGTTCACTTGAATTTAGTTTAGGACCATCTAAATAATAAACATTAGATAAAAGTCTGTCAATACGAATAAATTGTGTGATTGAATGTTTTAAGTTTCCACATAACTTACATGAATTAAATTCTAGGAAATCTGGATAAGATTTACTACATGTCGAGAACAAAATATATATGAATATATATGTAAATATATAGTGTATATACATACTTTAATAAATAAATATTAAAAAAATTTACTATGTAGTTTTGGGATCAATTTGTCCATTTCCGATTCCAATAGATTTAAGATTAATTGGTATTGCTTTTAAGTAATTCGATTTAATTAAAATATTATTCTCATCTATCAACTTTGCAACAGAAGGTACTATAGCACGTGCGTGACGCAGTAAAATTTACGTTACTATAAAGTACAATACAAATATCAATTGCGATGAAAAAACGTTGAAATAACCCAGACTTACTATAATGCCCCGCATAAGATTCACCAAAAATATGGAAATCCATTTTAGAATATTCTGGAAATTTTTCAAAGAATTTTTGTAAAAAAGTATATAAATTTAGAGAAGCGTGTTCTGTTGTTGCTACGATTTTTTTTCCAAATGAAAATCCTGTATCAACAGGCTGTAATAAAAGAATGAATTAATGTGTTTATGCTTTTATGGTAATATTTTTATTTTTATTTTTTTTCGAAAAAAAGAATTTTACCTGATCAATAAATAACAAATTAGAAACTTCATTCCAACTTTCGGGATGTACTTCAACATCTGCTCCTCCTACCATGGATCTACAAGGACCCATTTCTTGAAATAATCCTATCATTGAAGAACATCCCGGACCTCCATTTAACCATAATGTTAATGGAGAACCTTTAGGATTATTTCTCGATTCAAAAAACCAAAAAAATAGATTTGTAAATTGATCGACTCTTATATAGCCGGAATACTATATAAGGATGAAGAATTCATTAATATTTAAAGTATATTGAGATTAAATCCTTTTCTACTTCTTTTACCTGCTTCACATTTGGATCGCATAATTTACTTGATACAATACTATAGGTTGGGTCTTGGTAGATAAAACAATAAGATTAATCACGTGTATAATTATAATTGTAATTCACGTGGTACGTGGTATTCACACCTGCAGCTGCTGCGTCGGCAAATTCAATAGTTAGCATGTACCATACCATTAAGGTAACGAAAATGATGAATGAACATGATAATTTGCCAGCTGGTTTAATTATAAAATTCATCCTTTAAATTCATTAATTGCAATATATAAGATAAATTAATTTTAATAACATAAAAAAGGATAGAATTTTCTGAACGGAATAAAATTATTCATTCATCCTTTATATACTTTGCATAACTCTGATAAACAATTACACTCGCTGTTATAAAAATTCTAGAAAGTCACTATTTGTAATGTACTACATTATTCATGATTCGCTTATATAGAATTTAAAGTCCCTAGATGATGTCCAAAATAAATATGGATATTCCCTATCTGGTATATTGGGATATCGGATTCTCCATCCTTTGAACGATAATCCGGATCTATATCCTTTAATTTTTAACTACGTTTTTTAATTTTTAAAATAATACTATTCAGCGTTCACTCTATTTGAAAAAGGGACTGTTTAAACCAAAATTACGGAAAGTACCAGTATTGACCATAACGAAATATTAAATATTTTATGTAACAGTGCAAATAGATAAAATTATGTGTTAAACCCATTGGTCAATGCGCTTTGAAAAAAGGCGGAAAAAAGATTATCTCCTGATCTACGCGGATTCGAACTCCGATAAACAAACAATTAAGACGGAGGTTGAGAAGTTTTTCGAAAGGGATGATCATATTAAGGATATTTACAAAGGTACGACATCTCCTACATACCGAAAATGGAAATCCATTGGTTTCTATCTTCTATAAATAATGAACTTTTATAGTAAATAGTTTTCAGAAAAGAATTTTCCAAAAGCAATAATATACAGATTAAAACTTTTAAAGTCTATATAATAAAAGAATTCAAATTCATATATACATCATTGACCTATAAGTCTATAACTGGTCGCATCAATGCGTAAATTCTATTAAGGTAAGATTTATCCATTGATATCTATGATATCTATTCAATATTACAAGTAGTATTATTTGTTTATATAATTTTTTGATTTTAATAATTGAATCAATTATCACAATTGTAACTAAGCACTATATTGTATCCAAAGCTATTAATATAAGAAAGAATATTCTTTATTCAAATTCTTGCAGATTTTGTTACAATAAAAAAAGCATTTTTACCAAAAAGTGATTGTTTGGCAAATTGTAAAAATACTCGGTGCTACAGATGTGATGAATAAATTACTAGATTAATAAATTTATAATTGAGTAGGTGAGTAGTTCCTTGATTGGATACTTTAAGTCATGTGATTAGTGATTTAGATCTTCATGGTCGCCACTTGGTTTACATGTTACCAATTTTCAATAACTAGCGAGAAAATTAATTGTTACGCGATATCACATGTGAATAATACGTGATGTAACTTCTCAAAAAGAGTATCGATCGAAAGTTTTTAGATTTACACGTATTAAATTCCAAGTAATCTGTACAAAAATCCCAAAATTATGATGAATACTTAATTATGGAAACAATCCAATCATTTCCAATTTCAATAGGTTAATTGGCGATAAATTGTGATAAAAAGCTCACTGTAATGTCTTCCCTATAAAAAATTTTTATCCGAATATTTCCATTATTTCTCCATGTCTTTCGTAAAAATTCCGTGAAAATGATACATTCACGGATATCCGTGTTAGCGAGATGAAAATTTCCATGATTTAAGGCTATTAATTCCATGAAAATGATACATTCACGGAAAAAACATGGAAAGATAAAACACGGATCAGATTTTTTACAGGGCTTGCAAAAGATTCACCGGAAATCATAGTTCTACAAGGACTCATTTCTTGGAATAATCATATTTGAATCATTTGGATCGCATAATTTACTCGGTATAATATTATAGGTCTTGGCCCTTGGGTAAAAAAACAAAATTATCACATGTACAATTACAATTCACGTGGTATTTCGCAAAATCCGCTGTGTCAATGGTCAGAAACAAGATTGTTTTCCAGATGTTTAATAATAATATAATTCATCTTTCTTTCTGATTTATTGAATTTTGATTGTTTTAATTTGTTTTATTTTTTTTGATTCGGAGTCTATAATTTCATTTCAAGAGCATTAATGAATCGGGAATTCAAGAATATCGGAACAATCCGTTTCGCATGTGGTCAGTATTTAAATTTGATTTGGTAGTACTGTAACTTATCGATTACGGTACTAAGTTTCCTTCTTTCCTTGCAGTTTATATTTCATTAATTTACAATCGTTTTTATACTATTATAAAGAATTTTCTAGCTACGAAATTTTTTTTTTCGATCAAGTTATTTCAGTGGAAAGAATATATTGAATTATAATAAGCTCAAAATGTCAATTAAGTTAGTTTTTCTTTATTCTTTAATATAGAGTGAAAATGCAAACCCTCCAATTCAACGGCAACGTTTTACCGAATAAATTATGAAATGAATAATTAATTAATAACAATAAAGAATTCTTTTTTATGAAATAATCAAGAATAGTGATGGGTAATTAGTGATGAAAATTAATTAAAGACTAAAAAATTAAATAATAAAAAAATAGTGAGAAGTTTTAGAATTTATAAATAAAATTATAAAACATGTTATTAAAATTCATCTTACCTTTTCATGATAGCAGGTAAAAAAAAAAAAAATACATTAACTAATTCTTTTGTCATATTTTCCTTTTATTTATTCCCCTCTTTTTACTTTCTGATTCTGTAGTTAAAGCTTCATTATTAATCCACTTGGTAAACATATCTAAAGAATTTGTAGGTTGATATAAAGGAACTTCATGTCCTGCTTCATAAACTCTAACAAATGTTAATTTATCATAAGACATGGTTTCCCCGCCAAAATTATTACCAACTATCCATTTTTTCATTGAAGAATTATTAAATTCTGATTGATAAGTCCATATTAATGATTTTACTAATGTCATTCCGCTGAACCTAAAGAATAAGAACTAGGTTTGTTAATCGATAATGAGACAAAGTTCTCGTGAAAGCTTTATTTCCTTACCAGTTACAGATAAAATCAGCATCACCGTTATATATTAACACAGGGAATCCTCTATTAAGAAGATATTCAACATCTGTCTTATGACTTTGAATCCTAAAAAAAAAATTATCGATTTTAATAAAAATATATTATTATAATCACACGAAAAGATAACTTACATGTCGCCTTGTAAATAAAAACTTGCATAAACATTTAACGAACAATTAGTAAAAGATTTTTGCGCTCCAATAGCTGACATTACTTCAGGTTTGGCAAAATAAACCTGATAATCAAGTGGTAAGTCAGCTGTAGTTCTAACATCATAAACGCTTAATCCGGAATCTATATAGTGAGAAGAAATATTCATACAAGTTTCTTCTGCCGCAATGCAATCAAGTGCCTCTCCTGTTGCATAACAATTGTCAACTGGTAAGGAAAATTGAGGTTGATTTAATTTTTTTTATTATATACAAAGGCCGAGAAATTATTGTTCAAATAGAATTTAAGATGTGTTAAATTCTTACTTAATTGTTCACATCCGGGTAATTCTGATCGCATTACCGCAATTTCACTTGAATTTAGCGCAGGACCATCTAACAATTATCGCGACATCATTATGTAAATATTACGTAATGTAACTTTTTTCAAAAACAAGTATTGAATTAAGTTTTTTAGCTTACAAGTATTTGATTCTACGAAATCTGGATAAGATGCACTAAGTATCAAAAAAAACAGTTCAAAGTCAAAAAAAAAAGAGTACGTGAAAAAAATATATATATACAGTAAATTTGAATATAGTTACTATATAGTTTTGGGATCAATCCAATTATTTCCAATTCCAACAGATTGTAAGTTAATTGGGATTGCTTTCATATTTTTCGAATTAATTAAAAGATTATTTTCATTTATCAACTTCGCAAGGGAAGGTACTATAAAAACGCGAGTGGCGCAGTAAAATTATTTAGCGTATAGTGATAGGTTTTTTGATGAAAGAATAATCGATCTAAAACTTACTATAATGTCCTCCAAATGATTCACCGAAAATATGAAATTTCATTTTTGAATATTCTGGAAATTTTTCAAAGAATTTTTGCAAAAAATCATATAAATTCAATGAAGATTGTTCTGTTGTTGATACGATTCTATCTCCAAATGAAAATCCTGCATCAACTGGCTAACAATAAAATGAATGAATTAATTTAAAACATTTAAAAAATTTTTTTTTTTTTTTTCAGGATAAATTTTGATTCTACCTGATCAACAAATAACATATTAGAAACTTCAATCCAACTTTCAGGATGGATTTCAACATCTGTTCCTCCTGCTATAGTTCTACAAGGACCAACTTCTTGTATTAATCCCACCATTGAAGAACATCCTGGACCTCCATTTAACCATAATGTTAATGGAGAACCTTTAGGATTTTTTCTTGATTCAAAAAACCAAAAAAATATATTTGTAAATTGATTGATTTTAATATAACCGGAATACTACAAAAATGAGAAGAATTCTTTAATTAATAATATTTTATATATATTAAGAAATGAATAGTTTTTCGCTTCTTTACCTGCTTCACGTTTGGATCACATAATTTACTTGATACAATATTATAAGTGGGGTCTAGGTGGAAAAAATTAAAATTTAATCACGTGTATAATTAAATTCACGTGATATTTGTATAATCCCACCTTTTATTGCTGCTGCGTCAATTATTTCGATAGTCAGGAAGCAACATACTATCAGTATAACAAAAATGATGAATTGATAGGAAAATTTGCCAGATGATTTAATGATAAAACCCATACTTTCTTTTTAAATCTAAGAAATCGGGAAAAATATTAATTTAGAACAACTTTCTAAAGTCGTAAAAAAATGGATAAGAGATTATTTATCCTTTAAATACTTTTCTATGATCAACAAAAAAAATATTTGTCAATGAGCTAGTTACATTACAGTTTATGCCAAGCAATTAAACTCACGTGATATATGTAATATATTTATAAAGCAAATAGTAAAAGAATAATCAAAAATTGGACATTATTTTCTCAATGATTCTACGAAAAAAGGTAAATAAAATCAAAGTTAATTATAAACACATTCAAATATTTTTAAGAAAAAGTTTATATACATCAATAATAAATTCATTACAACCATTACAACCGATTTTACGACGACCGGATAATCCCGATGGTGGATTACATTTATACGAATATAGATAATTATTATTATAATAAACATCCCTGAAGTCCCCTGCATTTCAACCTTTTTTGGGTATTTGTCACATATATGTAACGCTTTAGGTTTAGATGTTCGAATATTCGGAGTTTTAGTAATTCATTGTACAACAATATTCACTTGATAATGAATTAGAAGGTAATAGTAGTTACGCCCATAAATGTATGTATATTATACACAATAATAAATATAAAAATACAATTGAGACAAGTAAACTTTACGATTTATTCAATCTTTAATAATTAAAAAATGATGATAAAAAGGAATTCCTAATTTCAGTACCAAATTTTTTAATTATACCTAAATTTTTATATTTTTCAATTATTTTCAAAATTTCTTTACTTATATCTAAAACATTATTATTTAAAATTTCATTTTTAATTCTAATTAAATTAATTGATTTTTTTGGTATACGATTTTTCCAACCAATAAGAAAAGATTCTAAATCTTCTGGTAATAATTCTGATGATAATTCATATAATTTTAATTCAAAAAAATTATTTTGTGAATGTTTTGCAACTACATCTAATATTTCTTTTTCACTTGATTGACTTGATAAAAAATCATACCAAATTTCAATACTTTCTAAATATTTACAATTATCAAAAATGATTTTTAAAGTTACTAAACCATCATCTGTTAATATAGAAGAAATTTTCCTAAGATTTGGACAAAATTTAGCTATAGATGATCTTAATGAACTATCAATACCATCAATATTTAATTCTTTAAGATTCCTTCCACTATTTTCAAGAAATTTTATTATTATATCATCATTTGGATGTATAAAACGAATTTTTAAAATTTGTAAATTTGGAAAAATTAAATTTTTTAATTCTTCAAAAGAAAGTTTATATTCTATTGATAAATCAAGTTCTTGTAAATTTGTGAAAAATGATTTTGTTATAAAATTTTCTTCTTTTAATTTATTAATTAAATTATTAAAAAGATTTGTTAAAGCAGGTAAAATATTTCTCCTCCTTCTATAAGATGAAAATTTTAAAATTTTTAAATTTTTTTGTATAGACATAAAATGTGCCAATCCATTTGAAACTGAATTTCGAAATTCTATTGTAAGTGATTTTAAATTATTACATATCGGAGATAATTGATAAAAAAAATGAGAATCAACATCCGATCCACAATTTAATTCTGAAAGTTTGTTTAAACAATCTTTTGTTCCAGGAAAGTAAATAAAATGTAAATTTGTTTGATAATATTTCAATTTTTTTAAAGAAGATATTTGAATCATAAACATTTTGATTATTTCTTTTTCAATTAAATGTTTTTTATAATTTAAACTTAATGAATCAATAATAACAAATTTTTGATTTTCAAAAATATGTTGAATCATTTCATCAAATTTATTTATTGAAAGAACTTTTATAAATGATGCGTAATTAAATAATGGTGGTTTTAAAGTAAGTTTTGAAATAAATATTCCATTCTTATTTAAAAGGTCTTTTGATTCATCAGGAAGACAATTAATTAAGGTATTAGTAATTGATAATGGTACGTGTATTCGATATGAATTATAACCTATACTATATTGTAATCCCCAAATATCCCTCCATAAAATTCTAACCACAATTTTACACCAAAGACGATTTACCAATAAACATGAATGTAAATTGATTTTATCATCTTCTAAATATTCAAATATTTCGTTAAGGCAATCGATGGGAAGTGGACAAGACATTTTAGACATTTTTTAAAAGAGAATATTCTTTTTTTTTTTTAAAAAAAAAAAAATTCATCCTTAAAAATAATTTTGTTCATTTATATATAGCTATTTGAAACTGTGTTACACTAGTGATATTTCGGGTTTTTTATGAAAAAAATGACGCCAAAAAATGATTATGGCGCAAGGCGCAGTATGGAACAGTTATCCGATACAATCGCGGATCTACTATATAATGTGATAAAAAATGGGTCAATTTCTTTTGAAAACGGAAGATCTGTAAAAATATGTATAGTTGTATACGACAAAGACTTCTTGTACGTCATATTATGTGCAGCCGCAGGTCGCTTTCACCCGTTCACCCCTGACCAGTATTTTATATGCGCCCGGCCGGCATTAAGAAATTTAATCATGTGTATGATTTTCAGGTTGATATTTATAGGAATTTCCAAAAAGTATTTTTGACGGAATGTACAGAAAATTCCTTTTGGAATCCGTTTTGTACGACTTCCTGGCTCCTGCATATTTTCAGGAGTCCTGGTGGAGCAAAGTATTATTTTAGGTAATGTTCATAAGAAATGCATAAAAATCATACGAAAGTCACGTGGATAAAGTAAAAAATACTCTTTCGCGTAAATAATAAAATCATTAAATTATAATAAATCTTACATTAAAGTTTTTTTATTATCATGAAAAAAAAAAAAATCTATTATCTATTTGATTCTATATTTACAATTTTTTTATGAATCAATCATTTATTCATTGAAATTTAAAAAAAATTATCGTTTATTATTATTTAAAAGAATGTTTTTTTATCTAAACAATAACTTTTTTTTTTTGGCTGAATTTTTTTTAAAGTAAATTTTGACAAAAAAACAAAAAATTTTTTTTTCAGCCTTTTTAGTTTTTCCTCATCAGTATATACTTTTATACTGTTTAAAAAAAAAACTTAATTCACTATGCATTAAAAAAGAACTTACTATCGGAATATAATAAATCTAAATTCGAAAAAATGTTGTATATATAATAATGAATGAATATATATAAATTATATATATATATATATATATACAGTATATAAGAAAGTTATTAAAATAACAAAAGGGTCCTGGAATTTTCTCAATTTCTCCCAAAATTGCGAAAAAAAAAAATAGTAATAATAATTAAGATTAAAGTAAAAGAAAATGCAAAATTAAAATCTATAAATGCAAAATAAATGAATGATGAAAGAAATGAATAGTGAATAAATGCAAAATATTACAAGTGAGAAAGAATGTTGTAAATGCGTGTATGCGTGTGTGTTATTATACATATCATGCTATACAATGTGAAAAAAAAAAATAATTTTTTTTTTTCGAAATATATATATATATATATTTTTTTTTTTATATGAAAGTTGAAGCTTGAGACCATAATTTACTTGGATCTCTAATACTCGATTCATCAAAGAAAATATGATTTGTAGATGGTATAAAAGAATATTCAAGAACTTGATCGGGATTAGCGGTACTAAAAGCTTTTCTAACGGTAAAAGTTAACATAGTGTTGGTTGGCATATCTTTTGGGAAATCTGGTTCATTACTTAATTCCAATGAATTAAAGTTAGTTTTTAAATCGAATCCTCGTTTCAAAGGATCATCAAGAAGGAAAACCTGTCCACCAGGAAACGAACTGAAAGATAATGGAGTATTCGGAAATCCTCCAACTGCAACTGATTTAACACCATGTAATTCAGATAAAAGTAAGGAAGTTGAAGCACATGACGACCCACAAAATCCATTTGTTAACATTATCATATCACTTGATTTCCATGGAAGTGAAGATTGACTGGCAGTAAAAAATCCATTGATGTTACCTATATCATTTTCAATGAATTTTGAGGCAAGAAAGTCATTTACATTATCGAATTCTTTTGCATCTACTTTTAAATATTCACTAAAAGTAAAAATTGAATTTGTTCCATTGCTTGCTTTCAATATTGCCCCCTTCACAATATCATTAAGTCTAAAGTCAGTTGGAAGTGATGGATTTGCACCAGGAAATAAGAGAGAATTAACGAAATGAGAAAGAACAGTAAGTCCTCCTTCGTTATTTGACATATCCAAAACGAGCTAATAAAAATAATAATATATATATTAGATAAGAGAAATAATTACATTATAATTTCCTACGTATAGTTCCGAAATAATAATTTACCTTCTTGGCACCGCTATCCGCTAATTTCTTGAAACCGGCTTGTATATTGCTAAATGCACTTAAAATGGTATCAGAAGTAATTTCATTACCGACATCATATGTTGCAATTACGGCAACTCCAACATCATTATCCAACGTATAAAATTGAGCGATTTTGGCATCAAAAACGAGATTATCAATTTTAACAGTAGGGCTTAATGATTTCAAAAGATCCCGATTAACAGTTAATGGATCAATAGGATAAGCTACATTACAATATTTATCATGTGGTTTTTTATCTTTTTTTGTGTGATATTTTCGTTTATTTTTCCTAGTAGTCGAGGTCACATTTGGTTCCTTTCCAACATTTCGTACAGGTTGTACATCTGGAGGTGATTCTGGTTCTTTAGGAGGTTGATTTTTTTCATCAGAGGGAGGATTTGCACAAAAATTGTTCCAATAAGATTTAGCATCAGTGAATTTATTAAGGTCATCAGGATTATTTATAACAGCTTCCCAATTACGAGTAATGGTTTTAGTGTTTGTACCACATTTTAGATCATAAGTTGTGGTTTCTTTATCAGGTAAAACCATACGAAGAGTAAATTGTGAAGATCTAGGTTGAAGTAAATAAGTTCCATTTTGTAACGCAAGAGATGCTAATGCCAAATTGAATCTGACACCAAGATCTTTAGAAACAAAGATATTATCACGTGCAAACTGTGTGATGGCGTCGATGGCCGCGACACCATCAATACGGTCAACCTCACAATCATCGTTATGAGATTCAGTAGAGTCTTTGAAAATTTTAATCTTTTGCGTTCCATCTTGTGATACGGTAGCATATAATGCTAACCTTTGAGTGAAAGCAAACCTTGTATAACATATTGGAAAAAATAAGGTATGAGGATCTTTCAATTGAGATACTAAATTAGTAGCATCAGTCTAAAAAAAATTAAATAGATAAAAATTTACGTTAAATAAATTCAAAAAGTATAAAAAATATAAAAATATAATTTCAATTATTTAAAGATGTTAATTATATACATACCGTGAATTCAAAATCATTAGCGTACGATTTTTGACTCAAACCATCAATTTCACTTATGAGATCCATTGCTTTATAATCAAGGCCTTGAACCGGTTGTTCTTTTGCAAGATCAGCAAATGCATAAAATCCGGTATAAAGTTTTTTCATCGTATCAAGAGTCTATTAAAAAAGAAAGAAAATTTAATTTTAACATCATTTTATTATAATTTAAAAATAACATATAAATTATTTACATCAGTTCTTCTTTTATTATCAAAAGCAAAAGATTCATAACAAGCTTTTATATCCGAAAAAGGAAAAGACTCGGTTTCAGCTTTCTTAAAAGTATTATGTATATTAGCACAACCATCTTGACCACCAGTTATGGGTGCTGACGAAGAATCAGTTCTTGGAACATATAAAGATTCTCCTCGATGAAAAGTTGCCAGCAACATGAGAGAAGGAATTAATGCTTTAATGAATGTGAATGGTTTCATTTTTAAAATGCTTTTTTAAATGTACTGTATATGTTAAATGCCAGATTTATACAAATGAAAAAAAAAATGAATTCTATATATATATATAATTCTATATGTAAAAAGTCTATTATATTGAAAAGAAAGAAGAATTAAAAGGGGGAAAGGAATTGTTTATATATTGATGATATGTATATTATGAAATGCATCTATTCACAGATTTCGGGAGAAAAGGAAAAAATTCTAGCTAAAGAATTTTTTTCACAAATAGAAAAATGAGTAATTGAAGGGATTTATATACATTCGAAATAAATTGTATATATAAATATATAATAAATATATTATATATAAATTATATGCATATATTCGTTGTTGACTTTTTTAATTGTTTAATTTCTTTGTGAGTAATGTGGAACATAACACAAAATAATTTAAAGAAAGAGAATATGATTTTCCTTGAGTTGTATACCAATTTCGGTGATTTCTCAAATTCTTTACAAAATTGAGTATAATATAATTGGTATGAATATTGAAAATCGGCGCATTTTCTTTTATCCCGCCAAAGAAACAATAAAATTATCTTTTGCCGCTACCGCCAAAAATTCCCCACAAGTTTTACATATTATTTTCATAACCTTTTATGATAAATATATTTTTTTTTAAATTTAATTTGAAGATATTTTCGATATTACCTTATTCGCATAACAAAGACTTAAAAAGGACATAAAACAACATAAATCACATATAATTACTAACCAAAATTTATAGTATATGACGATATTACCCCGATTGTCTGTATCACCAGCATGTTTAAACTTGTCCCAATCAACGTTTCAGAATTTTTGGAAAGATTTACAATCCCTATTCCTTTTTTTTCTGATTTAAACCAACAAATGTACGATCATACTATTAACCAAACAGGTCAATAGAAGAACCTTTTGGCTCTACCGCCAAAATTTAACAAAATTTTTTATGAATTTTTCTTAAATTCTTCTTCGATATGATAACTTTGAAACAACGATCAATTCGATTAATTGAATTAATGAAATTATTTTATTGTTTTTGACAATTTAACAATTTTACAAATTTAAATGATTATTGACGTTAGAACCAAAAGTTGGAAATGAACTCACTTACGATAATTCCTTTTCTTTATTGTTCTTTGACTTGGTGGTTATGTTTCGTCTTTAATAATAGTGTAACAATCATTACATGATGCTCTTTATTTATTTGTAGACACTACCTATGATTTTACAGACTAAAATTACTAAAATAGAAATGATCAATTATTTAGATCAATCACAGCGCATTTATTTATTATTCGCGTTCTTTGTAAATCTTTTGGTTTTTACAGGTGAAATAAAGAAATTAATAAAAAATGTGTTTTAATTAAAACGTTTTAAATAGTAAGACCATTTTTTTTTTTGTTTTTTTCAGCGGTAAGTTTCAAATTTTTTTTTGTTTTTCAGGCTTATTTTTTTTTTTCCGTGGAACATTTTAAAATTTGTAGGTCATGACGATACTGACGATACCCGACGGATTATTTGTGAAATATTTCATGCGTATCCTAATGATACAATACACGAAAGAAGAATAGATTAACGATTGAACAATGAGTGTTAAAAAAAGCAACAAGTCCATTTGTTAAATTTGTTTTGAACTCATTATTTCTAAAAGTTGATCGTTTAATAATATTATTAGTCATTGTAATTTTATTGGTACAAAAATTTAAGTTCCAAAAAAAAAAAATAAAATAAAATTAAAATTAAAAAATTTTCAAATTTCGATTTATTTATTTATTTTGAGAAAAAACAAAACTTTTACTTGGGTTAATTTTTCTAAATTCAGGATTTGGAATGTCATTAAATTTAGAAAATCCATTATCATTATTGAAACAAATTACAGATTTATTAATTATTATTATTATTATTTTAATTAATATAAATAAATGTGCATTTATCAAATAAAAGATTAGTATTGATGAAATTACATTATATATTGGAATCTAAACTATGAAAAATATATTACGGAAGTTTTTTTTTTGCGAGAAAATAATAATAATAATAATAGTAATAATTTTATTATTATTATTATTCTCAATTCTTAATAATACTTTTTGAAATTTTATTTGTTTGTAAAAAAGTGTCGGTCATAAATAATAATACATATTTAATTACGTTCATTTCATAATTCTATTTTTGTTTATTTTTTTCAGTTAGTAAATTGATTGGTGATAATCTTATTTAAATTATTACAATTCGTTCAATTCAATTGAATCTTAAATTAGATGAGATGTACGACTTTATTATTAATAAGTTGAATTTTATTAAATAGATTAATTAAGTAAGTTATTTATCTTATTTTATATCTTGAAAAAATTTCTCGCAATACTTAACGAAAAAATGGAGAGGAAAGGCAAAAAATTTATCGCGTTTAAATTTAGTACAACAAATCTTCAAAATATCAAATATTAAATTTTATAATATGTATTTATTTTATTGGTTCAAGATAAAAAAAAACAAGTTTCAAGTTTTTTTTTTAAAAAAAAACAAATAATATTTTCAATTACGTTATATTGTTTGTTTGGAATCTTTATTTTTTTTAAAAAAAAATTATTGTAAATAATTATGTATTAATCAAATTGAATATTATAAAATATTTTTCGCAAAAAATTAAATCCATATCTATTCTTGCTTTTTTAATATAATCTTTTGTAAAGATTTTATTTTTGTCTCTTCCGTTTGTTTCTTTACTTGGTAAATAACATTTTCCTATTATATACAAGTTAATAACGTTTTATATAATGAATTATTACAATTCGTTCATTTCTAATGAAATGTAAATTATATGAGGAGTAAAAATACGCCGAAATTTATTATTTATAAATAAAAATAGTTATTAATATTGTAAAAAAAAAAAAAAATTCCTCGCGATACTGAGAAAATAAAAAAAAAGGCGTTATTGTTTCAAGATAAGATGAAATGTTTCAATTTTTTTTAAAAAAATTTCAATTACGTTTTATTATTTGTTTGGAAGAAAAAAAATAACACAAGTGTTACATAATTCATTACTATTTTTAAACCTTTATTGCATTTAAGAACTTTTTCTATGATCAAGATATTATATTTAGAAATTCATTTTTTTTTTTCATTTTTTTTTTACCTAAATTAATTAATATATTTAATACTATAGAAGGATCGTCTACTATGTATTTTCGTCACCCAATTAATTGAATCTAATGAAGTACATAATAAGATTATTTTTCTCGAAAAATGAATATCAATTCCTAATAAATCTCCGTAGGAAAAAAAAAATGTATTTTTATTTTTTATTTTTTTAATTCGTTCCTTTCATGTTTCTTTACTAATCAATACCGGTCATAAATACTTTTATATTTTAATACGTATTTTATCGTATGATTTTTTTTTTTAAGATTTCTATTTTAATAAATAAAATAGTAATTATAATAAACAATTTCTACAAATTAAAATTTTTGTTAGTAAAGAGATTTGAAGATTGGTAATGACAAATTCGAAAGGTATACGAAATTTATTTGTGTAACATTTATCAAAGAATTCTTCAAATTATAGGCGAGGCAAAGAAAACGGTATGTAATATTATATACGGTACTAAAAGAACCATTTTTCTCCACGTGAATTCATATAATTTATCGGAAAATAAAAGTTTTTTTTACAATTCGCTAAAATAATTTACAGTATGTAAATTTCAAAAACTTAAAAAACTTACATTCCAGAGCCGCATTTTTGGACTAGCCGATTGACGTACCTCATTTGACTATATGAAGAACTTATGAAATTGACGCACCTATACCTAGGAAGTTGGGTATATCTTTCCAGCATATGCGTCTATTAAGTCACAACATGACCGTATCGCGTGATTATGTGATCATGTGAACTTAATATATATCCACGATCATCGCCTAAAAGGATGAAACATAGCTTGTTAGAAATTAGATTCGTCATAATAAGACAAGTCAAATAATGTTAATTTCATCTCTTAGGATTGATGATATTTAAGTTTTTAAAATGGAAGATGCTAATAGCATATATCCTCTCATTATAACAAACTGTCTTATTTTTCTTTGATTAACAGATGATGAAAAATTTGAAATTTGTCATTTTAACTTATCACAACTTGTTTTGAAAAATACTATACAGAGTAAAAATCATTAAATTTGACATCAAAATATTGAGACATTTCATTGTCTATTGATCATAGAAAGATTTTTTTTTTTATGTTAGTAACGCGCATTTCTTCTTTATTATTTAGTAAAAAATATAAAATACAATTTACGTGATAATCTAAAGAAATACATAGAAGCAATTTCTATCTACTAACTCCATATTAATATAATTGATCATGGAAAGATGTTATGAAGCTCATTAGATTTTGCCATAACAAGACATATTGAATGAAGTTTTACATTTTGGAAACTTCACTCAATATTTTGTTATCTATTGATTCAAAAGATGTGAAATTACCATCATTTGATGCATCTGGTTATGATAATTCTAACAGGCTATGTTTCATTTTTCCACAATCTTTAGATGATGGGTTAATATAATATTCTTGTATAAGTACCCTAGAGACTGTGACCCGTGGGTCACAATTTCTTTATTTCATTACAGTTCAAGAATGTATCTGTCAAATAAAAGGTGAACTTATTTCATCATTCTGGAAGCTGTCAGCTATCATTTGAACTATTTTTCCTGTGCCTTTCTTCTAATGAGTGTTTGGCATGGGCCCGGTCAAAAATTTAGTCATGTGACTCTGAACTGAATAACTCAATTTGTTTGTCCCATTCGTTCTTAACAAACATGGATGCATTTAAGAATGAGACAAACTCCACCATATATCATTCTCTTTGTGATATCTACTAAATCCAAAGTTCGCATGGGTAGCATTAATCAAATCCTTCTTTTTATCCCATTGCATAAGACAAACGCAGTATTAGATACAGTAGATCAGGATTTTTCTGAAAGGTTGTACTCTGACAATTCTCAGGATAATATCCATTAGCTCATAAAATAGCAAAACAGGGAAAATTGTTCACGATCAGATTCACATACTGTGAAATCATAATATTCTTAATTTCAACAGCAATGCATTTTCTTAGCATGGTCACTGTTCGGTATTGCATTATCAGTCGGTGAGTACTTGACTGGGCAAAGCCTACTGCTTGAAGAGCAAAAATATATACTATGTAACACCAGGACAGAA